AAAAAGTGGTCTTTTTAGATAGGTTCCTTTAGTACATGTCTCAATGAGAAACCATTTTCAAGGGAAACAACAAACACTATGAACCTGATAGACAAAGAAAGCGGACAAAATATACAGTTCCTCAGGTAGACAAAGGAACATTCCTTCACTTCTATCATGTAAACATGAGTAAAACAGGTGAATATGCATATTCGCCTGTTCTACACATTTTTACATAATAGAAGTGAAGGAATGTTCCTTTGTCTAGTAATGTCTACCTGAGGAACTGTATATTTTGTTCGCTTTCTTTGTCTGTCATGTTCATAGTGAAATTTGGTTGTTGTAGACAGGTGGTCACTAAAGCAGGTTTGACTGTATAAGCTAGATGTCAAACTCCTGTAAAAAAAAAAAAAGAAAAGATGGGTAGTCATTACTCATTATATCTGGTAAAAGCAAGATAGGCTCTACCTTGTATCATAGAGTGAATGCCTATCTGGCTTTTGGCAGATATTATTGGCCGTCTATTCTTGTATCTATCAATGTGGATGCTACATTCTTATTGAGCATAGGAGAATCTTTGAAGAGGTGCTTCGGCCACACTGCTCCCTTTGTATTAAAAGAAATTGTGAAGTGTGTAATGTATGTCATTGAAATTAAAATTTATATGAAATTGAAACAATAGTTCTTGCATCTTTTGTCTTCTTTCAAACTTTTTTATGCAAATAGCTTACCTAATACCTAAATATTGAACAAAGTAGATTGCCTTTGACACTGTATAATATCATCTTCTCTGAATACGTGTAGGTTAACGGTGCCTCAAGGTACTGGTATATCGGCTCTAAATGAAGAAAAAAACAGAATCTTGGAAATTTGTAATTTTACCATTCTTCTGTCAGTTTGTTCATAAGTTTTGAGAAAGATGTTTTTATAGAACAATTATTTGGCTTTTTTTCTTCTTCAAGTGTTAATACACTTATAAAAATCATTTGTATGATCACTTGCGAGAATTGAATAGTACAGGTACATGTCTCTACTCTTTATAAGGTGATATTTTTCAATACAAATTTTTATGTAGATGACGGGGGAATCATACATTTTGCAGTTGTTTTGGGTGATAAATATTACAGGCATCTTACGATTCATGTTAGCACTATTTTTTCCTGTTCATTGGTTCTAGTTGTTACAGGCATCGGTCCTCATAAAAATAATGGCTTTATACACAAAACACCTTTCACTGCAACATAAACATATTACACATAGAAGAGTTGTTTAGTTTTGAATGAGATACTTTCTTTATTTCATAACTGTACAATAGGCTCTCTTGATTGTTTGTATAACACATGGTAGCACAACTTCATCATAAAATGAGACAATAAATTCTCTCAAAATAGTATAAACAGCAATTGGGCACTTTTCATTAAAGCCGTGCAACTTTGCAAGTTTCCTTTAAAAAAAACAATTTCTATTAATTAATTTAATACCCACTGGGCAAATACTGGATATGCACTCATGGAAGTATATATGAAGCACCTCCATCACTTTGGCAGTGATTATTCTAAAATGCACAAAGTGGGACTTCTCCAATCTCAATTGATCTGTGGTTATTCAGGGTCATTTGAACCATGTCCTTATTATGAACTGATCTATTTGAGGAGGTTGAGCCTCTGTTTTTTTTTAAGAAACATGGCGTCATATAAATACTGTGAATCATCATTCAATACACGGAGAGTATGTAACGCTGAGTAATGCTTGGTGATGTACAGCATTTCAAGATTGTACATTTCAGTGATAACCGCATATTTCTTTTCTATGGTTAATAAATGTACATATATTTCAAATACAATCAATTGTTCAATTCTAAGCACATTAAAGGTAATACAAAGTTTTGGGAAATTTTGAAAAATGGGTGGATAGTGTATCTTTACAATTTTGATATATTTGGATGCCCCTGTGGATGTATTATAAGCACTAAAAGAATTGGCCCCTAAAACACTTCTGTTTTTGAGAAATATTGAATATCAAAATTTACCGGTGCTCCGGTAAACTATGATAAATTTGCAATAGCGCCTATGGCCGTATAATGTTAGCTGCGACCGTGAAAATCTCAGAATATATAGTTTGGATATATAATTTCCAAATGGGAATAGCTAATCGTTTGATTTTAATCAAGAAACATTGTTTCATAGCTAAATTATTATCTTGACCTTGAGAGGGAGCTATACAACATAAAGAGTTTATTATTTATAATTTCATAACTTTAGACTCGATTTCAACCGCGACAACGATCAATGTATATTGTAGGAACGCATATGCTTCCAATATGTTAATTTGAACCAAATGCATGACCCCATACCAAAACTTTGTAATACCTTTAAGATGCTTTTTGTCCCAGTACCGATATATTACAGGATAATTTGTAGATATTCTCTTCCTTCCTTTATATGTCGCATACATGTATGATATCAAAGAAAAGAGGGCGAGAGGAACAAATACCACACTTTATATTTCAGGGCATACTCACTACAATCATGTGTATCATATTAATACACAAGAAAAAATATTAATACTGCAAGAAAAAAACTAAAACAGAAAACAATTTTTCTATAAAATAAAAAAAGAGAAAAAATAAACAATTTAATATATGTACAATGTACATATGTATTCATCTGAAAGATGAAATTATGTTCTGCACTTCGTGCCAAAGAAATAACAGGTAGACTACTTTATATTCTCTTCTGTTTTAATAGCATAGAGCAAATAGAAAGATATCTGTGGAAAGGGGGGCTTATAGTTAGGGTACTTAACCCAAAGACTTTTAAAAGAGAATTGCCATAAACTTTTAAAAAAGGGTTCTTAACTATAAATATGTTTTCTTCTTTTGGTTTGTAAAAAGTTAAATCACTGAACACAAAGGTTGTCCTTGTGACTGTATCATAAGGAAATTTACCCAAAACTCTGTACATGATACTACGTTAGAAAGAAAAAAGGGGGATATATTATGATTTGACACTATCTCCTGAAAACATGTTTTGATGCCAACATAATTTGTTTTTTTAAGAAGAAGAAGAAAGAAAAGCACACTTATTACTACATTTGAGCCTATGAAATAACTTCAGATTACATGAGAATACTGCAAGATAAAAGATAAATTGATAAATGATGAGTGCAAGCCTAATTAGTACCAACAATGCATTCAATATGAAAACACTTAATATTGCACAATTTGCTCAGAGGTTTCTACATATTGTCTTTTAAGAGCCAGGAGGTTGGGTTGTCAGTTTCCATGTGCAAAGGCCATAATAATTCACTGACACCAGACTTGATGGAAATACCATTAATGGATGAACAAGTTTGCACACAGCAAACCCAGAGTCCTATCAAGAAATACCTCCTAGTCTCTCTGAGAGTCTTCGGTTAAAGGAAAGCAAAGCATAACAAAAACTGAAGGCTAATCCTGGTGATTGACAACACCTGTTCTTGGGTAAACACCCGAACGATGTCAAATATACATGCATGTAGGCCTGCATGATTTAACAATACACTTTTCGCACTAGAACCCGACTTACACCATGATTGGAAATGATCAATCTTAAAGAGAAGGTTGAGTTCTGGGAAGAGGTGAAAAATAATTTGTGAGCATTACTCATTCTTATTATGCAAGTGTGGAAGGACATCAGTTAAGACATGTTCCCTGAAAAGCATGGCTCTTCAAATGCCTTCATATTCTAAATATGCATGTAACATCGTAAAACTCGGGGGGGGGGGGGGGGCGGCTTTTTATGCCACGTGTTCGTGTAGTCCCATATACATCTTTCTGTGCAAGTGTTTGTAACTTTACCAAGACTTGGCCAAATTTCTTATCATTTTGATGATTCCAGAACCTCAGTGCAATACACACAAATTCTTATATGCTAGATGACCAGAACTCAACTTCATCTTTAGATGTACATGCTTAATAAAAACAAAACACTCCTGATCATTTGATGCAGCAAAATTATGACCCTAAACTTGGAGCAATAGACTAGGGGCAAAGAAAAATCAACGAAATAAAAGCAAAATTGTAATACATATGTATGAATAACTATACAATATGTAGCTATAAAGTTTTCACCAAAAACAAAACAAAATAAATGGACAATATCATGACAACACTTTAAAACTCATGAGCTCAAAACTATGCTGGTGAAAAAAATAAAATGATATGGATATATTTAGGACTACTGCGTATGTCCTATTTCAACCAATACATTTTCAATACAAAAATGTATTCTTATTTCATTTTCAAAGCGGTCATCTTTAAGACTTTTACAAAATAAGTTTCTAAAGGTTATGTAAAAATACCAGAACATTCGTTTGTAGGTGCATGTACATGTAAGATGAGACTGTTATAGTAAACAACCCCTTACTTTGATGATCAACAAGAATTCAATCATTTCTTCCTCACCGACATGGAACTCATTATATGGGACCATTACTGGAAGACTAACCATAATATCATAACAGATCTACCTTCAAGGTTACCAATCAATTAAAAAAAAAATTGTGGACAGCGAGAATGGGTAAATGCTATCTTTAAGAAAACTTGACCTGACATTCTATGGGTCAAAGGTTACAGAGTATGGACATAAAACCTAGTGCATGTAAGCCAAATCAGACTTGGGTTCATGCAGTGCAGGCTTTACTCTACATGAGCATGTACAGGTGCAGTGATTAGTCTACTCACAAGTCATTTTTATGTTGAATAAAAGAGTATTAAAGATAAAGTTTAGTTCTGGTCATGCGATATTGCATTGTGAAAGAAACGTTGTGGAATCGATCAGAAAAGGTTGATCATCTGGCATATAAGTATTGGTATGTACTGCAAGGTTCTGGAAATATCAAAATGATAAGAAATTTGGCCCAGTCTTGGTAAAGTTACAAGGACTGTACACAGAAAGATGTATATGGGACAACGCGACATGTGCGTGATATCTGTCAGGTCGAAATAGATACAATAATTTACCAAATATATCAATTAGTAGGCAGTTTCTCTGCAAAATTTGTATGATCACGTAATAGTCACAACATATTCTTTCACATGATTGGTAATAAGAGCTTCCATTTCATTTTTGAGAGGGGGACGTTTCCAAAACTGGTCTTTACTTTTAAACTTTCATTATCACTCTATAGAAATTATATTTGGAGCGCTTATCTTGAATATACATGTACATGTAGTATAGCGATGAGAAACCTTTAACTTGCAGAGCAAAAAATACTTCTTGATGATTGGTACACTTTAAAGCCTTTCAAATATTCAAGGAAACGAATGATGTAAGCTGCCGTGTGACTGCAATTAAGACAGAAGCTGCAACAGAATCAATATTGCTGAAGAATCTACGATTTGGAGCTGTATTACGCCATCGCTTGGCCATCTTCTGCCTTGAAACGTTTCTGAAGCGGCTGCCAAACCTCGTAATAGCTAGGGTCCACTTTCTGGCATGTCTTATCTCCCCACTCCGTCAGGGCTAAGCTCAGACAAGACTCAAACATGAACGCCTAGACAAGAAAAGATATCAATGAGGATAGTCACAAATGTATGCCACAGCTAGTCTTTAATTGTGTTTGGTTGTAATTTAAATGGCAATTGCTAGAGCAACATTTAGTTATATAATCAGAAGGTAATAATATGAAAAAGCTGTTATTTTCGTACAAACTATATGATGGGGGCTTGGGTGTCTGGAATAACAAACATAAAGCCTTCTCTTTTGCCTTTGGATTTACTGAACACTTTATGAATATATTCATCCAATAGCACCAACCATCATCAATATTTGTCCTGTGTAATATTGTATAATATTGTCAAACATAAATATCAAGAGATTTGTGAAATATAGCTTGTTAACCTCTTCAAATTGCTGTTAAATCAACTGTCCGGACACACAACGTTGGGGTGTACCCACTATTTGCCTGCATGTCCATAGGTGATGTGGTAAACTACAGCATTTTTGTCTTCTTATGATGGGTATGATATCATTATATGTTTCACATTTCTCTTTCCTATAACACACAAATATGTTATATGCATAGGACTCCTGTTGCTAACAGCCACTGATTTCATCCCCACTTGCCCCTCAAGACAGTGCGTGCCGGCACACAAAATACAATGCCATATATGTTAGTAGTCCCGTATACATGATTTTGTGCCAGGACCAAATCCATTTTGATCATTTTGATTATTCAGAAACCTCACAGTTTACATGAGGAGGCGCGATGGCTCAGTTGGTAGAGCAGTGGTCTCATAATCCGGTGACCCGGGTTCGAAACCAAGTCGATGCGCTAGTGCCCTTTGGTATGGTAAGGCATTAATTCTCATTACCAGGAGAAAACCTAAAGCCGTCGGCCGTCTGGTTGCTTACTAACAAGCATTTATGCTTTCTTAGCAGTCAGGTAAAATAACCCCCTCTACCTCATTACATCAATTCCTATGTACTGCATAATCAATATTCTCAGTTACTGTGAGACAATTTCTTTCACACCGATACAATGACAAGTATTCAACAAGATCTTTGCTCAACTCACCATGGTCCCATCAGCAATCCGTTCTGCTTTCAGAGGGGCATTAGAAGCATTCTCAAAGCATGTAGCATCTGGACCATGAGGAGTCATCATACTGTGCAGGGAAGCACCGCCTGGTTGAAAACCTTCCTCCTGCAAACCAAAAATCAAGGAAAATTTGTTAGAAACAAAGAGCAAACCTTCTGAAAATGTGTCTATTTTTCTTGTTTTTACAAGTGTACTTGTGTAATTATTTACTCACAACAGTTACTACAACTAGTATATAAAAGGTGGCTGCATACTTTTTGCTTCATGGGTAATCCGTCAGGAACGCCCCTCCTGCCCCTCGTTTAGAATATACATGTACTAGTTCATGAATGCACTCCATCTACTAACTTGGATGTTATTTACATTTGAAACATGACCAAGGAGCGATAAACCAGATTAAATAACGCAATTCATTACAGCGATACTAAACCATCTCATGGTCAACTTGCCAACAGTGCGTAACCCAGTACCTAGTTCTCACTTCGTAAACAGAGGACTCAACAGCACAGCTAGGGAAGCATAGTGCTACAGCTGACCTGAGATAGCACTAGAGGGGATTTTGCAGCACTTTTTCTTGTACAGTAGTTAAAGGCTTTAAATATAACCCTGGACCCAACACTACAGAGGTTTCAAACAAAAGTTAAACATGATAAACCAATTAGCTAACATTGTTCCATATCCTCAGCTTCTCATCTTATTGATGTTATATTATTTGATTTGTTATTTATTATCTGTTTGTATTAAAACTGAGAGCAGTAAATCTAAACATTACTATCTCACTAAGGCGGCATAAGCTTGTAAATGCAATAACTTTGATTTTGTTACTTCTTTCGCACAAGCTAAATTTGCATCAAAACACTCTTTATAAAGTAAAAAAAGACCATCAGGTTCTCATATTTTGACAACCAAAATCGTGATACAAGATAGGACTGTGGTGTAATTAGCCCTGGCATTGGAAAAGCTTATCTAAAAACTTTAGAGCATAATAGTCAATTTATCCAGTTATTCATGTTCTTAGGTTTGTGAGGAGCATCAATCCCAAAACCCCATCAACTATTGGATCCCACATTTAGTCCCCCCCGCCAAAAAAAAAAAAAATCTTACCTTAGCTTCATATTTTCCTTTGATGAGACCCATGAATTCACTCATGCAGTTTCCTACGGGAGACATAAACAAAAACAATCAAAGATTAGAACAATCATATTAATTTCCTTTGGCAAGACATTTATCTACATTTGCCATACTCGACCCATGTGAGGTAAATAGATACCTGGTATGATTATTTCTTGAAATGCACTGTGCGCTGGTAACGGCTGCTGGAGCTAAAGCTAGGGTAATAATTATGCAATTTGTGTAAAGCGCACTGATATGTCTTAGGACAGGAATTGCGCTATATAAATTTGGTACATGTCATTATCATCTCCATTCCCATCCTATCCTACTCCTATTCCCATTGCATTCCTTTATAAACACTTGCTTTAGCCAATGGCCGTTAATCAAGAAGTCTGTCAATAAATTAATAAGTTTACGGTTTCACCATGTGGGTAGGCCTGAAAAGAACTGTTGCATTTTAGAGGGGATAAAAGGGGAAAAGCAAGTGAGAGAGTGATATTCTTTTAGTTTTGTCTTATGGAGGACTACTCAGTATTGTACAGAGAGGGGAAGAAAAATAATGGTGCGATGAAACTGTCAACGTTCCAAACAGGTTGACTCTTCGTCATCACAAATGAATACTTCACGGGCGGTGCAGGGTATATTAATAGCGGGTATGCGGACTTGGAGTTGTGAGTTGATACATAAAGAGATATACAAACTATAACCTAAGAAAGATGCATTGCATATAAAAATACTGTGATAATCCTATACATGTACATATAAATACATATGATGAGCAAAAGAACGGTAAAACGCTTAAGCTTTATAAAAACAAACTACAATTTACTCTGCAATCCCAGAATATGTTGGGACCACAAAAAACAGATCGACTTAAAATGCAAATTTTGACTTTGGAAGCTTAAATAAGACACATATTTTGATTTCAACTTATGCGACTTTGATGACTTCGGTGAAAATGATGAATATTATATAAACAATAAATAAATAAATTGTATTTGCTGGCTTCAGGCTGGATAAATCACAAATTTGTATGATGCTCCACCATTCATATCACTAAAATGACACCAAAACCTGCAACATGCTACAACCTGTACTATCGTCACTAGCATGATCTACTTACTGTGGTAGTAAGGTGGGCGGAAGGTACGCTCCTGAACGGACCAACGAGGGGGGAAGATGACAAAGTCAGCGATGGCAGTACCTGGCTTGTTAGACTGGCAGGTTAGGACGGTGAAGATAGAAGGGTCCTGAAATAAATAATGATTACAGGTAGGGTTACAAGCTAAGCAAATGAAGATAGGCAAACGTTCAAGGTGAGCTTTTATTAACCAGGGTGCCGCAAGAGAAATTTGTTAAATTAAAACATTACTTTTGAATACCGTTAATTTCATCAAACAAATTTTTGGAATCGCTAGAGCATGTAATTTCAGGAGGAAATAATATTTTTAAAATATTAGAGTGTCTTTCTTCCTGGCTCACTTCACTCACTGGCAACATTTAGAAACGGAAAGATTTCAGATTTCAAGTGCCTGAATATCGCCATACTTAACAGCAAAGTGCCCGGATATATCTTATATCTTTTAAACCGTTGAAATTACTCTTTTTTTTTTTACCATGCTCATATAATGTAGAAACAATAAATCTGGCCAACGACATGCCTGAATATATTCTCATATTCGTGTATCAAGGTCATGACCAAATATATGATATTTATTCATGTACATGTCAGCATGAGGTGCCCGGATACATTATTCTATATCTTTTCTAAACTATATAAATCTTGTAGCAAATTCTCTTTGAAGCCCCACTGCGCTACTTATAGCTACTTGCGCCCTCTATACAGCAAACAATGCCTAAGCGGTACCCCTTGATCCCCCATGATGCCCTTTTATGTTGATTGAAAGCTGAGTTGATAACCACATGCCAGTGACCTTGCAGGGAGGTCTAATCCCTCCATGCCAAACTAGTGCAGAGGGGCTTTAAATCTCCTATTGGTTGTGCCTTTCTGGTATTATGGAGGATCCTAAAACAGTCTACTAACTGATCAATGTTGTACTCAGGAAGGTCCAAGGTTTGGTCATCTGGGGCCCGTCTTACAAAGAGTTGATATCAATCGCAACTATGTACATATCGGTAAGAGATATGAGACTGCAAACTTGCGATTGATTGGAGGACTTGCAATTGGTTTGGATCAATCACAACTCTATGTAAGACGGGGCCCTGGTGCCCAATACATTGACGAGTAGTTAGAAGCTTACAATATAAACTGATTTCAAATGTGAAATCCCCCTTCTAATTTGATCTGATCTAAGCTCTAGTAATGGCTTTTTACTCAATGCAGTGATCGGACAAATTTAAATCTTACATAGAGTCTGTAATGTACGGAACAAAAGACAAGACAACGTAACACAATAAGACAAGGACAAAAATACATTGTACTTACTGCATGATCAAAGGCAACTGCATTGATGACCATGAACTTCTCCAAGTCGTACTTGTAGGGGTGGTAGTTGCCGTGCCAGGCTGCAACGTCGTAGGGTGAATGCCTCTGACCGGCAGCAAAGAGCTTGCCCTGAAACTTACTGATCATGGTGTAGTCGCTTGGACGATCCTCAAACCAGGCCATAGGGGTCAGGAAGTCACGGGGGTTGGCAAGTCCGTTTGCTCCTATAAGATAATAATAATAGTTATGAGTGGTTGCCCATAGAAAAACGTGTTGTTTTCAAGATTATTTTGCTATTATTTCACTGTATACATCGGCTTGATTTAACATTACTTTCCTTCTAGACAGCTACGTTCTCAAAACTCTGGCTTACTTGTTACTCCTAGAGTTAAAACAAAGTGGGGGAGCGAACCTTCGCTCATGATGGGCCTTCATTATGGAATACTCTCCCTCAATGGATTAAGAATAGCAGTTCTGCTTAAAGGGGAAGTCCACCCTGAAATTAAGTTAGTTTTAATAGGAGTAGAAAAATGAGAGAAACAAGTCAGTGAAAGTTTGAGCAAATTCCGATTAAAAATAAGGAAGTTAGGATTTTTGAAGTTGTGATCAATCAAACACAAATTGGCAACTCTATGACATATCATGTGAGCTCAACTTCCATTTGCTCAGTACTAAAAAAATCTAAAATTTTCATTTTCCCTCAAGAAAAATTTCAACCATACATGCACCCTACATATAATAATTGCAAATATGTTTCTATACTCCCCCTGCAAGGAACAAATATATATTCCGTCATCAATAACGAAGAAAACATGATTTTATGGAATATTATGCACAAAGCAAATGAAGGAGAGCTCGTATAATAAGTCACAGAGTTGCCAATTTGTATTTGATTGATCACAACTTCAATAATTCATAACTTTCTTATTTTCATTCAGAATTTGCTCAAACTTTCACTCACCTGATTTTCTTATTATTCTGCCTCTATCGAAACAAACTTACATGTATTTTGGGGGTGGACTTTCCCTTTAAGTGTTAAAAAACAATCTTAAGAAATATCTGTTTAATTTAGCTTATAATTGATTACCATAACTTTTCATGTCTGTAACTTTCCTATTGCACTTTTGTATATATTTATCATGTATTTCATCTTTTGCACAAGCTGCGCCTCGAGCATTTGACTGTCAAGTGGATTTGGCGCCTTATAAATCTTAGATGCTGCTTGTAAGTGTCGGCTTATAAATCTTATGTATTATTATTATTATTATATAGCGCTTAACACTTACTTTACCAGAAGTCTCTAAGCGCTCTACAATAATGTGGCATAATTACGCTGGCTTTAGCAGAGCAGCTGTCACGCACTCTGCTTTTCAAGGAATAAATTCATACCAGGTCCCCATTTACTTCACCTGAAGGGAGCGCAGCACAACATGGATGAATTTCTTGCTGAAGGAAATTAACGTCTTGGAGTGGGATTCAAACTCACGACCTTATGATTGAAAGACGAGAGTCAGAACCACTACACCATGATGCTTCCACAAGAGAGCTTCCATAAGGGAGGAAGCAATCGCTAAAAAGCCTGTCTACTACAATGAAACTGTCTAAAAAGACCACCCAAGGGAGACAAGAAAAGTGGTCTTTATAGGCAGGTGGTCTTTATGTATAGGTTCCTTTAGTACATGTTTCAATGAGAAACCGTTTGCAAGGAAAACACAAAATGTGGTCTCTGTAGACAGGTGGTCTTTCTATACAGGGGTAGTTGCAAAATCCGGTTTGACTATACAAGGAAAAGAAATTATAATCGGCATAAAACTGTTGGAGAAAATTATCTACACTGAAAAGTACAAATACAGAAATTAAAGCCCCACTGTACTACTTGTAGCTACTTGCTCCCTCTATATAGAAGACAATGCCGAATCGACGGTGGCCATTGGTCCCCCATGATCCTCTCTCTCTTATGTTAATTGAGAGCTGAGATGATGAGATAGCCACTTGTCAGTGACTACCCTGGGTGGTTTAATCCTTCCTAGCCAAACTAGTACAGATGGCCTTTAAGATGGGTTTAGCATAGTGCTGGGCACTGTTGCATAACACTTTCCATTGATGGTAACTTTGCCATCAATCAATATCAACTACCATGGCAACATCACTCAATAGCCAATCAAATGAAGGTTAATTACCATGGAAGTTACCATTTATATCAAAGTTACCATCAATGGTTAGTTTTATGCTACAGGGCCCGGGTACACTGTACCGGCATATGCCTCTGCTAGCACCCATGCTACTTGCTCTGGAGGTAACACTATGGTTGCGTTTATTGACCAAATTTTGGGCTAGAATCAGGTTTCTCAAACGCCTTTCAGGCAAATTTAGAAGGTGATAAACGCAAAGCCTTTTTTAAAGGTCTTTAGATATGGGCATATCTAAAGACGCAAAAAGGTGTGTTTTGAATGTGACATACAGTTTTGAACTCCACATACAAATCAAACCACCCAGGTTAAGGGTTCGAAGGCTAGCGCGCGCCATGTGTTGTGTACAAGCATGTGTGTGTAGTTGACCTCCGAGTAACTGTCAGCTTCCCGGGCCAAAACAGATGCGCAGACACAAGGCCTAAGACACAAGGATAAACGCGACATCCTGCAAATCACTTTCGTATAGTGGGGTTCGATAGTGGGGTATGATAGTGGGGTACGATATGTACATATCTAGTGGCAAGACCTAATAAACGCGCCCTATGTCTTGCAGAATTTAATATTCAAAACAAGTTCTTTCTGCAAGATAGTTTCTATTTTTTCACTTGAAGGTGGCAATCTATTTTGCCTAACACATAATTTTGATGACCGGTCATTATCAAATGCTAATGACCAGTCATTAGTAAAATTATGTTATAAAACATCATTTGGGGCCAGTCACCACGAAATGAGTCCAGTGTCGCATTAGGCTCAATCGTAGTAATAGCGATGTATAGTGTGTATGTACTGAAAATTGACCCACCTACCACATTTAAGATTTTTCCAAAAATCGACTTATTAATGTCTTGTAGTTTATGTCCCCAGAGCTTAGGTCACGAAAATATCTCCTTCTAACAATTTTTGGCAAATAATATAGGCTATGTTACGCATCATTAACTTTGCACCTAATTATCTCAAAACTGGGTAATCCCATTGTTTATAAAGTCCAATTAGGTTTTTGTTCATATTTCTGGATATAATTTATCAATTTTAATGTGTGACCCCTTAATTTAAAGCTTACTTAATGTAGATTCATATAATACTTAAAAACAGGAATAAAATTTTTGACCAACTGGACTCATTTCGTGGTGACAGGCCCCATTTTATGATACAAATAAAACATAATCTCATGAAACAAATAATACACATCATTTTGTTCTGGCATTAGTAAAATTACCCACACTCGGTACCTTCAAAACAGTCCAAACACCCTCGGCTATCGCCTCGGGTGTTAGACTGTTCCAAAGGTACCTTGTGTGGGTAATTCTTACTAATACCCTCACTGTTGTGTATTATTTGTGAACCAACACCAATGCTTACCTATGGGACCCAGGTCAGGTAGGGTGAAGTGACCGTCAAAGACTTCAAGAACGTAGCCTCTGGAAGGTCCATTTACAAACACACTGAACTTCATTCCTTGCTGAAAACAGAACAATGATGAGAACAACAAATTCAATTTAACTACATTTTAAAAATAAATGAAATCAAAGTTGATCATGGTAGTCAAGTTACCCACAAAAAAACTACCATGCAAACTTGTGTAAGAAATTTGAAGATATGCAGTGTATTAGGCTATACATAAAAATTTCATTTCAAAGTTTCTTGAATATGAGCGTTGCTGAATTTGCAATACATGGAAACAAAGGATAAAAGAGTACATTTTATTTTTATTTTTTATTACTTTATTTACTATTCATTTGAAGGTAAATATACATCAGACTAAAATGATGAATTTATTTGTTTAACACCACAAGAATGATAACTATGTATAAAAGGTTGAAAAACTAATAATAATAATTATATACCGGTAGCCTTAATACTTTGTTTCTACCGGTAAGTTATTTACATTGTAATTATCATTACCCCGGTCATTGGATTCAATGCATTCCGGCCAGGTGTCATTGTACAAGCACACACATGCCAATCAATACACATTAAAGTTTGCATTCAACCGGGTACCCATTTAACACCTGGGTGGAGAGTGGCAAGTATAGCTTAATGTCTTGCCAAAGGACACTGGTGCCATGGCAGGACTCGAACGGCAAACCATACGATTCACAGTCACTAGACCACGACACCTCTGATGCCCTTTGGGCTCTCACAGGCTGATATTCACCTGAATAACGCAGATTTCATTAGGGTTGACTAGCATCTTTCCAAATTCTGTATAGATGAGAAGCTCTCCTTGCTGAGGGACTGGAGAGAATAAAGACAATAGAGCAAAACATTTTAAATGTTCAATATGCTATTGAACTAAAAAATCTTGCCTGAATAAACCTCCATTGCATACAAAAAACTAGATGGAATTTTGACTGCGTGCAGTCGAAAATGATGCCTCCGCCATAGAGCAATTTAAACAAGTTTGGAGTTTAAATCTCCAGTGGTTCTTGAGATATCATGATAACAATCTCAATGTATGGAATTTCATAAGTTGACCTCTGTGACCCTTGACCTTTGACCTACGTGCTCCAAAATCTAATCAGATTGTCTTCCTATGGTGATACACACTATCATTAAGTTTGAAGTTTAAATCTCCAGTGGTTCTTGAGATATTATGATATGGTGATACATACTATCATTAAGTTTGAAGTGAAAATTCTCCAGTGGTTCTTGAGATATCGCGATAACGATCTCAATGTATGGAATTTCATAAGTTGACCTCTGTGACCCTTGACCTTTGACCTACGTGCTCCAAAATCTAATCAGATTGTCTTCCTATGGTGATACACACTATCATTAAGTTTGAAGTTTAAATCTCCAGTGGTTCTTGAGATATTATGATAACAATCTCAATGTATGGAATTTCATAAGTTGACCTCTGTGACCCTTGACCTTTGACCTACGTACTCCAAAATGTAATAAGATTGTTTTCCTATAGTGATACACACTATCACTAAGTTTGAAGTTTAAATCTCCAGTGGTTCTTGAGATATCATGATAACAATCTCAATGTATGGAATTTCATAAGTTGACCTCTGTGACCCTTGACCTTTGACATACGTGCTCCAAAATCTAATCAGATCGTCTTCCTATGGTGATACATACTATCCTTAAGTTTAAAGTTTAAATCTCAAATGGTTCTTGAGATATCGCGCTAACAAACTCAATACAAGGAATTTCATATGTTGACCTCTGTGACCTGTGACCTTTGACCTACGTACTCCAAAATCTAATCAGATCGTCTTCCTATGGTGATAAATACTATTCCCGAGTCTTAAGTTTAAATCTTAAATGGTTCTTGAGATATTGTGATAACGGTCAAACGGGACGGACGTACGGACGGTACGACGTACGGACGGACAACCCGAAAACATGATGCCTCCGGCACCACCTTCGGTGGCGGAGGCATAAAAAGAAAAGAAAGTGGACACTATTTAAAGTTGATATTTTCAACAACAAAATGTTTAGTATAAATTATGTTTCATAATCAAAATAAAGATCCCCTTTGGCCTTTAAGGCAATCTGCAATTAAAACCACACTAGGCATGCATGAGTGAACATAGTTATTTAACATAAATGAGTTTCTGAAAGAAAATTGCAAAAAATGGGTCATCTGGCCATTCAAATGTGGATAAGCATTGGAGGTATCCTACCGCATCTTGACCATGCTTGTAAAATCCATGCAGTTATGAGACTACAGTTGACATCCAGAGGTCAATCATCCAAATTTGTTTGGTTTTATTATTGAACAAAAATATCTTACAGATGCACATGTTCATCAATATATTAATGGCTAGTTGCTCTATTTTTGTTAATAAGACCTTCTAATGGTTAAATGAATGTGCCCATCCAAGCATGACAGTTTAACATTTTAACTTGAATGATGTTGGTAGAGCATTAATTTTTCTTTCATTATATTTTATTGATGGTTGATATCAAGATTTTAACAATAAAGATTGAGTGACCACTTTCCTTTTTTGCTGAGCGCAATTGAAAATACAGAGTTTTAAAATGCTGGATTAAGCAGGGGATACTTAGGTGAAAGGTAAACAAATGCAGATTCATGAAGTGGTGTGGTGATGAAAGAGAAAGGGTGGTTCATAAGGAAAGAGTTATTAATAATTTGACTCACCTATGAGAAAGTCCCCATCAGAGTTGTAGAAACTCCTACAAACAAGAAGAGTATGCATTGTATCACATGACTTGATATCATTTAATGATTTACATCAATCTTCAGGATAGAATATACAATTAAATGTCTAAAAGAGAGATAAAGGGCAAAATGCCCTAAAAAATATATAATAATAATCATATATTTCTAACTAATTTGGCATAAAAGGTCCTGCTCAATGACAGTTGTTCAACAAATATTTGTTGAAAAAATACAGAAACAATTTGCTTACATGTAACAAATAATCAAAATCATATTTCATTGAATTAACTACATGTTTATAACAACATGTTCAACGTTAGTGTACATTCTGTAAAGGAATAACAATACTAACAATAGCTACATTCATAATGCGCACGTATCCATCTCAGAGGTCGATGCTCAAGGGGCCTACAAGCAGATTATTATTATGACTGATAAAGTAGCAAAGAATCGTCTAAAACATTCAATTTACAGTATGGATTATTGTACTTCGTCAGGGAGCCAGGGCTCTAGCCTAACGAGCACACAGGACATAGACATCACATGTATGGGAGCCCATAGTTAAAGTCCAGGGGGGGGGGGGGCGTTTCACAAAGTCTTTTTTCAATGACAAATTACAAAAATCGATGACAAATCTGCTGATAACCCATCAGAAGCAAAGATTTCAGTAGCTTATAACAAAAACTGTCATTTGTCATTGGTGACAAGATTTGTGAAATGCCCCCCAGAACCTGTGAAATTCAAATTTTGACATGGGACTCATGCCTACAGACTCTAAAAAGTGATTCTCTTCATAGAAAGTTAAAGTGGATCCCTAAGTCGAGTGTAAAATTCCTTACTTTTCTGACATGGATGAGTTGCATGCATAGATGTGTATAGCTGCACCATGTCTACTCCGAGTGTCTCCCGCTCCGCAAACTGTACTCAGCCCCTATACACATCACAACATAAACAAAATGAACAGATTCTAAATACAGTAATAACCTGTCTTAATAGCAACCACCTCAAGATAAAGGTTACCTATATTGGCTCCATCTAGGAAGAAACATTTGTTGCAGAACCTGTCTAGAAAGGCCACCTGTCTACAGTGGTCGATTTTTCTGTTTCCCTTAGGGGGCCTTAATAGATAGGTCTGACTGTATATCAAGAATATAATATTCCTAAATGTTTGTATATCAATTGTAAAACCTTATGGACATACACATTTGTACAAGATCCTAATGAATGAGTGGTCAAAAGCAGTAACATAACTGAGACTATCACACATTTTTTCCTTTTATAAGGATGCAATAGTCTTTAGTACTATCCAACAAATTTGCGACAAAGTAAGTAATGTGCAGCAGTACGTGTAGAGATTAGTGCAAATATACTGTGGATGTACCTATACTTGCGTGGCATGGAGCATACACACATATAGAGGCAATGTGATGATTTTTTAAATTTCACAGTATCAAGTATTCATTAATTCTTACAACCACATAATCAACATTTTCCCCATTGCTTCTAGTTTCATTCACAATGCAAATGCATGAAATTAAGGATATGCTCCTGAAACCCTCAGCAGACATGACCATAATACTTTCTCATTAGCAAAAGAGAATGGACAATTTTCCCTCTCTCTTTTTCCAAAAAAATAAACTTCTATTATTATTTTTTTTTTTTTAAATAGCAACACTTACCTGAACAAAATCTACCTCTGCTGCGCCTTCACCAGGCATGTCAAAGGGACGCCAGCGCAGCTAAATATAAAGATATATATAAATATATATGGTTCAAAACATGAAAGGTGTTAGAAACAAATTGAAATACTCTCAATTTACATGTAAATTTACCTGTAAAATTACAGGTAAATATGTATTTAAAACTATATGTTCCTCAAAATATATTAATTCTAAAAGGAAAGACTCGACTGAGCATTGTACATTGTCATTAAATTGAATATATATCTTCTTTGTTTTATATACAGTCAAACCTGTCTATAGCGACCACACAAGGGAAACACAACAAGTGGCCTTTGTACACAGGTGGTCTTTGTAGACAGGTTCCTTTAGTACATGATTCAATGAGAAACCATTTTCAAGGAAAACAACACATGTGGCCTTTGTAGACAAGTGGTCTTTGTAGACAGGTGGTCACTAAAGCAGGTTTGACTGTATATATAAGCAGATAAGTGTAAGAAATTGATTTGATTAAATTATCTCAATCTAAAGGTCATTTAAAAAATCTATGAATATTGTTGTTGCGCTTTATGTTTCTTCACATGCCGTACATGATTTTTCTTTTCTTCATGCCACAAAGTAAAACATACATGCAATCTCTCTATAAGTTATTATGCTTGATGAAAGTACTTGAATTTTGTTATGTTATTTTACCATTACTTCTTCAATCTATTCACATGTAACATCAGTGGACGTGGAGAACCTCATGAAAGAATGGAAATTCTTTTAGGTAATCCTCATGAGTCCACTGGTGGCATTTTCACTGTCTTGTAACTCTTTAATATGCTCTGTGTTGTCATTTCTATTTTGTTTATACATGTTCCTGGAAATTGAATAAATACAAAAAATAAAACAAAAGAAGTAATTTACATCAAAGTGCTCTGACAAATACTCTGGCAACAAATGCTCGGGGGAATATTTCAAGAAAAATACAGGGTTCAATAGGGTTTCAATTTGGTATTCAGTGAGATTGGAAAGCGCTATATAAGAACTAGCTATTATTATTAATATTGAGTGTTAGGGTAAGTGTTTGGTCCAACGATGAACTTTAAAATTTGGATAGAGTAGGATGTTGACCACAAGGCAGTTATTGCCGGAGCAACCTAAAATACTTAGTCAACCCTCCCGTTTGATATTTTTTGATTAGTTACAGCCAGCCTTACTTTATTCTACATATACTCTTTTGTCATGTGTAAAACTTGCAATGATTTGCTAAATTTTATTTGTTATATATTTGTAAAACTGCAAAAGAAAAAGAAAATCAAACAGAACTAAATAAATCACATCAAATCAAATCAAGTACAATGTATACTATGTATCTCATTGATAATGAAGACAGGAATGTGCACTTTATCTACATGTATAATAGTATACCTACTCTTCAGCTCAATTTGTGTAAAACACCAACAATCCTCTCCTCACCCTCTGGTTTGTATCTAGATTAGTGGGAAATGCACTCATTTGCCACTAACACCTCTATAAATTGGTATTTCTTTTTAACTGGATGTTGTTCTTTTTCCTTGCCTAATGCTTATTCATCCTGTGATACAAAGCATCTAACTCTACCAGTACTACACACATATTTCAGTGCATTTCAAGCCATTGTACTTTCTAACTGATCCACATGTTTTGACACAAAGTCGGTCATACTATCATACTTAAGTGAGACGCAGAGTCTTGTGTACAAATTAATGAAATACTGCATGTCGGGGGAGGGGGCCTTTGGGGGCCTTCGTCCAACTCTAGTTAATGAGAAGCTTCAATAAGCCAGTGCAGTTTGGGTTGATAAGATATAATCTACATGTACAGTGTACATACAACCCCCCCCCCCCTCCCCCTCTCTCTCTATCTCTCTGTCAGAATGGGTGATTTGTGGAAAACTAATTTGTAAGACTCCCTTTTTTTTGTTTTTTGACTTTTATACCATCTTGACTGTACCTGGTTAGGATTTGGTGGCCAGCTATCCCAGTTATTAGTCATGTTCCCATTATTGATGGGTTTGAATGGAGTGTGGAGAACGGATGGGCGGATGCGATAGAGCCAGGATCTCTTGTTATGGGCCCGGGGAGCCGTGAAGGCCGTCCCACTCAGCTGCTCAGCGTACATGTCATATGGGCATTTCTGAGGGTTGTTCTGAAGATAAAAATCAAGATAAAGAAAGGATATCAGTCAATCATAATATCCTTTATATATTTGCAAATACATTTAACTCTGCATACATGTTACCATGGTCATATCTGTTGGGGCTGCAAAATATAGTTCCGACTTATTAAAAATTTGACTTGGGAAGTGTAAATAACACGTTTTGCATAGTTTTCCATAGTTTGGTTTTAAAAAAATTGACTCGTGCAGAGTTAACTGGCTCTCACAATTATCACTATCATAAAAAGTGTAGAAGAGCTCATCGACCAAAAATAAAGATATCAAAATCTTTTCTGCAGCCTATTATTTTTCCTCATCAATGTCATATGGGGTTTGAATTATCAAATAATGATTTATTTTTTTTTAATTAATATTTTTGGACAAAGGAGAAGTTTTTTATATGCAATACAAGTTCATGAGTTGACAAAATTATCATTGAAAATTTTAAATAATTTTTCATCAACATTAATCATAAAACCAGGGCAACTTCCAGCAAAATGAGATTTGGATAGTAATCTCAAGTTGAGGATTCCACAGAACAAAAGAATATGCTCCGTAAAATAATTAGATGGCTGGTACTGAAAAATAGAAGAATAGTTGTGAATAAAAACTTGACCTACCTGACCCTCTGGCAGGGCTCCTGGACAACGTGGGTCTTCTGTTGCAAACTCATTGCCAAAACCGCTCATATACTGCAATGGGTGACAAGAATACAATGAGACATATCATAACTAAATTTCAGCAGTGAAACCTGTACATTTAGAGACTCTTCATTTATATTAACCAAGCTTATACAAAACTTCATTCTTCGAAATACAAGGGAAAACCTGAACATAATGCTCTCAAATTTCAAGTCACACATGTATCACACGACAACAACAAATGAAAAAAGAAGGAAAAAAATGACAAAAACATTTTTTTTTACCCTAACCCCTATGCCTGGGATAATGGAGAGAAAACTGGGGTACCGAACAGGATATCTATAAAAAAAAATATTTTAAAAATTCTGGTCCAAAATTCAGAAAAAATATTCCCTAATATATCTTTTAGTACTAGTGCCCCAATGGAGAAGGCACTTGTGACAAAAACAGAAATTCATGATATATTTTTGTACACAACAAACAAGAGAGTTACATGTGTCTCAGACTACATGTACATGTACGTCACAATCCATTACGAACATTGGCGATTTGAGTTTCGAATAGCTGAAGGAGCTCATATTTTGAACACTCATAATTTTCTTATTATTGTTTGGACTTCTTTTGATTGCCCTCTAGAAATGAACACTTCCACCTTTGTATCACAGAATCTACTAACGGCACATAACTTTCGTGAGCACGTATCCAGTATTTGTCCAAGTGAGGTTTACAATTCTGCATTTAAATGATCTTTATCTGCCCATGCATGTACAGAAAGTGTCTCTGAATCGGCTTTTAGTACATGGTTTGGATCACCTATGACAAATGTGTAGAGATCAATAGATTCATAAAGAAGTCTACCCCCCCCCCCCCCAACCCCCACCATTTCACTGTGCAGTACCAGCACTTTAAGATGTCGGAAGTAAAATATGAGGGTTAAAATTCCAATGAATTACTAAGCCATCGATATTGTCTCAGAATGTAATATGTTATTATTGCCTTCATTGTACAGTTTTCTAAATACAGAAAGAAAACAGGAACATATACAAAATTAACTGCTGCTCGAGTGTTCTTGTAAAAAAAAATACAAATACAAATAAACAAACAAGAAATAAATAAATTGCTTGTAAAAGTAATAATAGAAACAAGAATAATGATTTATAATAATTTTAAAAAAAATTATATTAACAATAACATACTTTACGATAATAACGATAGGTTTAGTGTACACAGGCGCACGCAAGGCTATGACACTTGATACTTAATTGTTGTAAATTAAGTGTCAAGTTGGCAACAAGAAAACTGGCATTATCGCATACATCACATGTATTTGTGTTCACGGCGGAATAAACATGGCAAACTTTTGTGAGAGATCAATAATTTTGTAAAGTAAAACGCATGTTACTGTTGGCTCATTATCATCAGAAACATGTAGACGTACGGTTAAGCAAAGCGCTATACCACTCCGTTATCAATTTAGTCCCGAGTCCAAGCATGAGCAGACTTATTTTTCTGTCTAATCATAACTTTCCTTACCTTGACATATTAAACATTAGCGGACTCACTTATACATGTATGTACTACAGGGGGATTTAACCGTAACAAGTCATGACAGTTTCATTTGTGAGTGCGAAACAAACCGCGAATTGCAATTGCATTAATAAATTAATAGCGCAGTAGAAAAGACGACACAAAATGAAAACGCTTCAAAATCAATGATCATCCTGTTGATGCTATGGTCAACCTAAATGTTACCTTTAACGCCTCAGGCTCAGCCATGGCTTTCAGTTACAGTGTAGCCTCAGTGTTTTTCGATTATTAAAATTGACAGCTGTTTTCTTTATTTCGATAACAAAGTTGGTGTGGATCTACTCAAAGCTCTGCCAGTCCGTCACACTCGCAGCTCTGCCAGCACCAGATATGGCACGAATCACGTCGTCACGGCGGCGCGGCCGCCCGGTGAGCTCGGGTCGCGAATCCATCTCGGATCGGATCCGATGAAGCTAGCAATCAATTTTAGTTGTAGATCCTCGCAAGTGTACGTGTACACGGGCCAATTATGCGGTAGCATATATTGGCACCAAGATTCGCAATTGGTCAAAACTGGAGGTGTGTCAGGGGTTGGGCTTTCCAAAAACGTCATCTTCGCTTCGACTAAAACGTCTTGATGTCAGATGAATGGACCTGCATAATTTGTCATCAGGTTGAACTTGCAAAATGATTTGCGACCAAAGTTCAAGATAATTAACTAACAATCATCTTAAATGACTTGATAATTTTATGTTCACTAGAGCTGAAACTATTTCCATCGCTTCCCGATTAAATATAAATGACCCCATGGTCACCCTCATCAACGTTATAGGACGTATATACAATCATTCTCTATTTTGCTTTTGATAATTCTTTAAAGTGTAAATCGATAGGTACAATTTTTGGGGGATATGCTTTGCCCAGTACGCAATCGGCCCGGTTGAAATTATCTAGGCTTCACAAAGAGCATTCTTTTTGTAAGGATTTTGCAATCATCTGACAAAAATTCCCTAGCCTTCCCCCTTTAATTTTTCTAAACATTAGTGGTAGCTGAATACGTGTCACGGTATTGACGGCACATTCTTAACACATTTCCATGGACATCTAATAATAATGTGTGGATAGTTTGGTTTGATATGAATTGTCTTTTTTTTGTTAAAGTTTTGTTTATATTTAGTATATTTGTTTTGTTGTTGTTGTTTTTCGTTTAATGATAATCCTACTAAAGTACTAGGTCATTATTTTATTTCAAAATGTTATTTGAATCTGAATTTAAATTTGCAGTTTGTTGTCAAATGGTCGCATAAATGACGTAATATTCATATCAGATCCGGACCTACAAAGTATTAGCCGTTTGATAATGTACTTTCGTTCGTTTGTTTGATAAACTTAATTGTTGGTCTGGGCCTCGTAAAACAAAACTTGACAATCGATCATCGATTTATTTTTCTTGTTTGCGATTGATTGCAAATAGGGACCATTATATTCATCCGTGCGACCATTATTACTCAGCTTTGTGTTACGCGACCCAGGCAGGGGCGTCGCTAGACCTTTTTCAGGGGGGGGGGGGGGGTGTAGAGGCCAACGATTACCGACAAAACTTGCCACCAATTACCGACAAAATTAAATTTCCCAATATCTACAAATTTAACCCTATCTATAGTACTTGCGTATGCGCAAAGTTGAAAACCAGTTAATTATTCAGTAGCGACCAATAATCAATTGATTAATTTTCCTCGACGACTTAAATATACGAATTATTTCGTCAACTAAGTCAGCATCATAGCTATATATTTTAATGCAGGCGCGGAGCTAGGATCTGTTTTTAGGGAGGGGCGGTAGTGAGCAGGCGAATCACTTAAAGAGCGCGCGTCGGTGATAGGTCTCCCGCGCGAAGCGCGAAAGCTTTGACGTCTCATTAAATTACGAGAAAAAGCAGACGATTCGGTGTACTGTTTACGACTCTTAATCCTTATGTGAATTCAGTTAAATTATTAGGAAAAGAAGACGATTTATTGTACCGTTCTGGATTGTCAATCCTTGTCTGAACGAGTTTTTTCCCCTCGCGCGGAAGCTTTGGCGTTTCATTAAATTATTAGAGAAAGTAGACGATTCGTTGAACCGTGCTCGACTCTTAATCCTTGTCTGAATTCAGTTTCATTAAATTCATTAAATTATGAGAAAAAGCAGACGATTCGGTGTACTGTTCTCGACTCTTAATCCTTATCTGAATTCAATTCTCCCCCTCTCCCGCGCGAAGCGCGGAAGTTTTGACGTTTCATTAAATTATTCGGAAAAGACGACGAGTTATTGTACTGTTCTCGACTGTTAATCCTTGTCTGAACGAATTCCCCCCCCCCCCCCGCGTGAAGCGCGGAAGCTTTGGCGTTTCATTAAATTATTAGAGAAAGTAGACGATTCGTTGAACCGTGCTCGTCTTTTAATCCTTGTCTGAATGAAGTTTCCCCGTCCCGCGCTTTGCGCGGGTAACTTTTGACGTTTCATTAAATTATTAGAGAAAGTAGACGATTCGTTGAACCTTGTTCGACTCTTAATACTTGTCTGATTCAGTTTCTCCTTTGACGTTTCATTAAATTACGAGAAAAAGCAGCCGATTCAGTGTACTGTTCTCGACTCTTAAACTTATCTGAATTCAGTTCTCCCCCACTGTTAATCCTTGTCTGAGAGAAAGTGGACGATTCGTTGAACCGTGCTCGACTCTTAATCCTTGTCTGATTCAGTTTCTTACCACCCGCGCGAAGCGCGGAAGTTTTGACGTTTCATTAAATTATTAGAGAAAGAAGACGATTCGTTGTACCGTTTTCGACTCTTAATAAGCCCATATTTGTCTGAATTCAGTTTCCCCCTTTAGCGCGAAGCGCGGATTTTTTGGCGTTTCATCAAATATGGAGAAATGAAGACGATTTCGTCGTACTGTTGTTGACTGTTAATCCTTGTTTGAATTTAGTTTCCCCGAAAAATTTTAACCTCTGATTTCTTTAGCTGATATTATAGGAAAGCGAAACTTCGAGAACATACAAGTTGTAGTCACTCTCGAAGTCGTCACAGCGGATAAAAAGTCACAGTTCGTAGGGAAAAATCTTGTCGGCCGACCGACAATATACATCTCACCGACTTCAAACTTCTGCATTGATAGGGTACAAGAGGATCGAGCAAGAATACCGACACAGCTGACCCGACACAGCAACATATTTAACCGTGTCTTTCCTGCTCCCTTGACGAGACGACTCCACCCAACAACCCCCTTTCTCTTTTACTCCCACTCCTCCTCTCTCATACTCTTACCTCCCCTCTCTCTCCTCTCTTTCATCCCCCGTTTCGTTTGTTTCCCTTTCTCATTTTTCTTCTTTTTTTCCTTTTCTTTCTTTTCCTTTCTTTCCTCTCCTCCCTCTTTTTTCTATTTCTCTTTTTTTTCCTTTCTTTTTCTTTCTTTCCTTTCTTTTCCTTTCTTTCTTTTCTTTTCTTTTCCTTTTCTTTTTTTCTTTTCTTTCCCTTTCCCTCTCTTTTTTCCCGACGGCAGCGCAATTTTACCGACAATATCATGACAGGTGGGGGTGACGCCCCCCCCCCCCTGGATCCGTCCCTGAACTCTCTCCACTTATAACCAACCTGTATGATGCAATCATCTGAAGATGCAAGGGAGAAGTTATCGTTATCATCATCCGCTTCGGCCATTGGAAAGGCATAGGCGATGCTCTCGGCCGTTAACTCTCTCGGTCTCTCTATCGTCACCTGCACCGTAGAGGGTCGTTCCACTGTCGTCGATCGTGCTACTGGTACCGGCTGTGCCTCGCGGAACATTGCGGCGTAGTCGATGTCTTGGGGTGGAGGTGGTGGGGGAACTGGTGGCGGGACAGGTCGGCGGGGTGGGGGCTTCTGATTCTTGCTCGCTAGGTATGCTTGGTAGCTGTGGAGAGATGTTTTGAAAGAAAGAGAGAATAATGTAAAAATTATACGAGAACATGGAACAACCGGGGTAGACCGAAGTTTGTTGAAGAGAGAAATGTGACGAGTACAAATAAGAAGGAGGAGGAGGAGGAGGAGAAAGTAAAGAAGGGGAAGGAGAAGGGGAAAAGAATTAGAATGACGTGCATGCAGGAGGAGAAGAATAAAAAGAGAGCAGTTTTTCCATCTCCTCAACCTCTTTCGTTTGTATCTTCCCAACAGTTGCCATTTTGTTCTCTTCCGACAATCATGTCTAATAAGTAATATGATATATCTCTGTTATTTCATCTTCTCTTATAAAGAACAGTTCGAGTTCGCATGACTTGGATGTATTAATGCATTGTGTAATCATTGTGGTTATTAGCAAAATACAGTTTCTCACTATTTCTGTTATGGATGTTGCATGTTGTTATATAGAAGTTATAATAATTTAGGGTTGTACATTTTCCCGGTTAGCCTCATACCCCGCCCCTCTTTCTCTCTCTCTCTCTCTCTCTCTCTCCTCGGTTTATCTTACTCTTCACCCTATACCTTATATGCCCCTCTCTGTATCCTTCTATATCCCTCTGTTTGCTTCTCTGACTTTTCAAACAGTCTTCTGTGGGCGGAATATTGCAATCACCATTTTATCCGTATCCTTCTTCTTCTTCTTCTTCATCCTTTTTCTTTTTCATCATTTTTCTTTTTCTTCTCTCTCCCTCCCCTCTCTCTCTCCCATCTCTCTCACCTTTTCCATATCGGACATGCAATCCATGACTGTACATGTATTGTGTCGTCTTTATTAAAAAGTAGTTGGAACATAAACTGAACAGGAAAGTTAATATTTTAAAAACCAAGGTCCATGACAAAGTATAAGGCATAAAAAGAAAGACCGACCCAAAAATATTTAAATCTACGGTCGGCATTTTTTTAAACCGTTTTCTAGAGAAAAAAAAATATTGCAGCATTCCAAACATGATAAATATCAGTCCAAGGAGGGAGAAGAAAAAAAAGTATATAAAAAAAAGATTTCCGACCGATCGATCCATTTTTTGGCACGTAAAGGGCAATAGGCCTACAACATATTTTTTCCAGGTCTAATACAGATTAAACTTACTCAGCTAAACCTAAGAGATTACGGGGGCTCCGCCCCCGGACCCCACCAAGGATGCTCATCTCACCGTAATTAAATACCTCACACCCCTGAGCTTCAAGGGGCTCTGCCCCCTGGACCCCGCCAACGACCCTAAGGTAGACCCCTGGATGCTAAACTGACCGTATTTAAATATCTAAAACCTCTGAGCTTCAAGGGGCTCTGCCCCCTGGACCCCGCCAACGACCCTAAGGTAGACCCCTGGATGCTAAACTGACCGTATTTAAATATCTAAAACCTCTGAGCTTCAGGGGGCTCTGCCCCTTGTACCACATCAATGGCTTTATAGAGGACCCCTGGATGCTCATTTAACCGTAATTAAATACCTAAAGCCCCGGCTTCCGGGGGCTCTGTCCCCTGGACTCCCCGCTAAATAGTGACATGCCAGTGTCACAAATAAGGTAATATCTAAATATGCTTATCTGACCGTAAATGAATGCCTAAAAACCCTGAGCTTCCGGGGGCTCAGACCCTTCCGGGGCTCAGGCCCTGGACCCCACGCCACGTGTAAGAGTGGTGGTGATGCAGATTTTTCTTCTGCCCCCACCCTCCTTCCAAAGGTTTTTGCTCATTACGCCACTGCCCCTGGAAGGTGAGCCCCCTGAAATGTTTACACCCCCCCCCCCCCCATTCCAAACTGCTTCCGACGCGCAAGCAGAGACTCCATCTTTCGAGCTATTTCCCCCAAATCTCCCTTTTTCCCGCTTGAGTTTGATTTTCTCTCGTTGAGCTGTGTGTTCTCCCAATATTAAGCTGCGTTTTCTTCCGCCTAACATTTTGATTTTCTGCCGCCCAAACAACTTCAAAATGTATTAACTTAAAGAAATATAAAAATCATGATGACAATTCTATATAATAATGATAACTGTAATCATCATACTAATAATGAAAATGAAAGTATAATAACTATTTGTATAAATGTAATTGTCATTGTTATTGGTGGGGGCAGAGGGGACATGTGCCCGGCCCGGGTGGTACTTGTAGAGAATCAAAAACGCGGAAGAGAGGGGTGTATACGGCGCGAGAGAGAGAGAGAGAGAGAGAGAGAGAGAGAGAGAGAGAGAGAGAGAGAGAGAGAAAGGGGAGAAAAGGAAAACAGGTCATGATAATACATAATGTTAATATTGCACCCCAATGCTCCCTTGCATAACAATTATGTTGCTTCAGAATTTCGTAATTTGCTATGACTATACAGCAAGATAGTCTCGCGACATGCCCCCTCCCATTTCATGTAGCATGTAGAGTTACAACTTGGTTTAACCACGCCCATTATTCAAACCAATAAGGGGTCAAACATTAATGAAATGAATTATTCCTGATTATTCAATTTTTTGATCTGATTCTCAGATTAGGATGAGCGAATTCGTTAGTTAGTAAGCTCCGGGTGGCTTATAATAAGAAAAAGGGAGGAGGAATAACACAACATGAAGAAGAAAGATAATGCAAGGTTATTAAAAGATAGAGAGACCCAGAAAGATATTGATTGATAGATTGATTGATTTTATTCGACAAGCTTCCAACATACAACAATATACAATAATAACAGATCAGAAATAAGTCAGCTTGAACAGGATAACCCACGAAAGCTCGAGAGCTCATTTCCAGTGGGGTCCCTTACAGACATGTATAGAATTAATAAGTTAAAATAGTAATATTTACAGACAGATAAGAAAAAATAATAAAAGAATTACTTATTGAAATAACAACATTAAACTGATGATAGAAATGATAATAAGTACAAGAAGAAAAGGAAGAAGGAGAAGAAGGAGATAGGCATGCCTATAAAAATAAAAGAAAGAGGTAATCAGAAAAAAGATGAAAACAAGAGAGAGAAACGAAATGAATGGACAAAAATTTAATGTGCTAATAAATACAAAAATAAAGAAAGAGAAACCATGCATGCAAAAATACCGTAGGGAAAAAAACGGGGAAAACATACAAAATATCAACACAAAAGAGTGAGAAAAGGGGAAGGGACTCAAGGAGTACACTTAGGAGAGGGATAAAAGGAGCATACGAAGAAAAAATAATTGAAGGATTGTAGAATGAGTTTCTGAGATGAAATGAGATAGAATGAGATGGATGAAAAATGAAATGGACGAAAAGGGACGAGGGCCGTTGGAGAAAATAAGCTGTGGTCCGGGGAACGCGGACACACGGTCGTGACCATTATAACCTAGCTAGCTTCAATAGCATAATATTTGTTCATCCTAGGCTCCAAATCAAGGTATCCACAATGATGCTCATAGAATTCATTGTGTTCGAGGATTGGAATAAGCAAACAAATTATTGTCACATCGAATCTAGACTTTAGACGCCTCACCATGACCCATGCACTATAGGATATGCTGCGGATACTTGCAAGTACGTAGCTATATGCAGAAGAGACGACAAAAATGTACTCGCCACACAAAGAACGTGTATTTCGAGTATACAGTATAGACTTACCGCTCTACGTGCTGTTTCAAGTGCTTCACAAAATTGGACGTTGTATTCGGGGCATCTGAGATCCCTTTATCGCAAGATAAACATACTGCCGTACGTCTTTTCATATTGCAAGCATAGTTGTAGAAATTAAACTCTATCACCTGTGGAACCTTGTAACTCAAATATCTCTCCCGAGGTTTTTTTCTACTCGCCATAATGATGAAATATATGAAAGTAGATTTTCGAGTAGTATAGTAGTACTCGATGGAATACTCGCTAACGTGGGGGTGTACTAAAGGCCGTGCGATAAATCTGCATAATGCCAAGTACGTACTTGATTGATCTGATCACGTGGGACGGGCGGCTCTTGATTGGCCGATCCCGAGGCGGACGGTGCGTGGGGATCGAGGGGGGAGGGGGGGGAGGGGAGGGGGGGGGGGGGAAAGGGAGGGGGGAGGTGGGAGGGGGGAAGGGGCAGGATTAGTCGTTTATCTTGTCTGGGAGGCATATCATTATAATAGAGTGACGAAACTATGCATTTAATTACCGTTCAAAGTGACAAAATGTCTTCGAAAGGAAGAATATAGAATTTCGGACGTTTCGGACGATATTTTCAGTAAGGATTTGTTTCATTTTTAGTAAGAATACTATTGCTAAATTTTACCAGGGAGCCGGTGAGACTATTATCACCTCCCTGATTTTACTCGGTAATTTGACTAACATGATCTTATGAAATCGATACATGATCATCGATCCGACGATTATATATGTTTGTCATTTTTTCTTTCTTAATTGTCAGACTATATTAATCAATGATCAAAAGGAAAGTTGTATTTTGTTTCCTTTTTATTGATACCGCTTATTGATAAATGTCTCATTTTAAGCATCGAGGCTCATGCAGGCCCTTCTGCTTTCTTCGTTCCTCGTCGATTTACTTCTTGCAAGTTCGACTTTACCTTCATATTTTTTCACCATGTAATTAACATGCAATCCGATGTCTCATAAATATCTGCCATTCAGTAGTTAACTAGAAGGTTGAGTTATGGGGTGAAAAATAATTTGTGAGCGTTATAATGTTTGTTATGCAAGTGTGGAAGAAAATTCAGACAACTTAAATGTTCCCTGAAAAGCACATATTTCGGTGTACAGTGCTTGTAACTCAGTACCAAGACTGCGCCAAATTTCTTATCATTTTGATGATTCAAGAACCTTGCAGGATGCGACCGTCATTGTTGGTCAAACAGTTTTTGAGCGTCAAGTATAACGCCTGGCTGGAATGCTCCCCATGGAGTGGAGATTGTGCATACAGTGTGTGCGGGCAAGCACTGAATCCAATGACCGGGGTAATAGCTATATTTGTAAAGCGCTTAGCGACATTTGTGATAAACGCTATATATTTATAATAAATATTATTATTATTATATGAATAATTTTACAAGCCTGTCTGGTTATCAAGATATTTATGATTGGAAATCGAAATCAATTTTTGCGTTTTCCTAACGGTTTTCCTAACACTACAGTCTATTGGGGAAACGAGTATGGTAAAATCGGTCACTCAAAAGATTTTTTACTTTCTTGAGGAACTTTTGGCTTGATCATTTTGATGCGCAACTTATAGGGCTTCAATATTACACAATAGGCGGTGTCACACAAGGCGGTGTCACACAGAGGCCAAAAATCCGGATTTGTTTGTTATTCAGATTATTCGTAGCCTGTTTGTCACCGACTCAAATGAAAAAAATAGATTTCTAAAATCTGGTTTATTCAAGATGGGTCGAGATTTTTCTGTGCGACACCACCTACAGAGGCCAAAAATCCGGAGTTTAGTTATCTGGATTTTAGTAATCCTCTTAATTGCTGTCTGTCATCAATATTATCGCTTCAAAAATCCACAAACAAAGCAAGAAAATTCTCCCTTGAATGGATTTTTCAAGGGATTTTTTAAGGGATTTTTCTGTGTGACACCGCCTAATATCACAGACACTGATAACACGTATAGGGCCGTGCATCTCAGAATTGATATTGTTAAATGATGCCTTTAACTACGGTCAGATGAGCATATTTTGATGCCTTATTTCAGGGGTGTCGATTTGTATCAGTGGTTGGGGGTGATGATAGGTACCAAAATATTAACTTTTTCAAGTCACCCTCAATAAAGATAACATTTCAGAAAATATGGGACCCATGTGGGTCCCACATGGGCTTGCTACCTGGGTTAATAGGGACTTTTAGATTCGCACGAAGACAATGGGGATTGCTACGATCGACGTCCTTGAATGCACTGCCTTGAATGGACGTCATACGTATCAGTCCACGCAAATCTGGAAGTCCCTATTATCCTCTCAAGCGCGTAGCCAGTATTTTATAATTTTGGGGCGGTAGTGAGCACGCGAAGCGCACTCCCTAAAGGGGTGGGTGAAGGGAGGGGGAGTCCCCCCCCCCGCCGCCTCCCGCGCGAAGCGCGGAAGCTTTGACGTTTCATTAAATTATTAGAGAAAGAAGACGATTCGTTGTACCGTTCTCGACTCGTAATGCTTGCCTTAATTCAGTTTCCCCCCCAACCTCCCGCGCGAAGCGCGGAAGCTTTGACGTCTCATTTAATTATTAGAGTAAGAAGACGATTCGTTATAATCATTATCGACTCTTAATCCTTGTCTGAATTCAGTGTCCCCTCACCCCTTTTCGCGCGAAGCGCGGAAGCTTTGACGTATCATTAAATTATTAGAGAAAGAAGACGATTCGTTGTACCGTTCTCGACTCTTAATCCTTTTTCTTCCTACGTCCTCTTCCTTTCTTCTTTCTTTCTCTCTCTCTTTTTTGGGCAGGCGTTATTTTTTTTGGGGGGGGGGGGGGGCGACCGCCCCGACTGCCCCCTGGCTACGCGCCTGTATCCTCTCTGGCTCTTATTATCTCTCTCTCCCACTCTCTACTCTCTTTTTTGCACTTTTGCGCTTCGCGCTTAACATTTAGCTCGTTGCTTTTTAATGCTGCGGCTTTGCATTTGGCGCACTGCATTTCTATGATGCTGTTGATTGAATAAATTGAATAAATTCATCAATTCCTGATGAAGCCGTTTGAGCGAGAATTCAATTAATTTATTTTTGTCTCATATGCGGTTGTCTCATTTACTTCGTTTTCTATTTATATATGAATGTATTATGAAAATGAGATAGCAAAATGTGTATATTGATGGTCATCTTGCGAATAATAACCATTAGCTACTCTCATCGGGCTCTCATCATTAATTTTTCTCTTCATTTTTTTTATGGTGAATTATTGGGGGATGATTGTACAGGCCACCCCCCCCCCCCCACCTGAAATATTGGGGGGGGGGGGATATATCCCCATCCCCCCCCCCCCCGGGATCGACACACATGCCTCATTATTTTGTGACACTGGCAGGTCACTCATTCTTTCTTTCTCTTTCTTTCTCTTTCTCTTTAACATACTTCCCCCCCCCCCCCAAAAAAAAAGTGGGGGGGGGAGGGGGGACTCGAGCCCTGAGCCCCGCCGTTCTGCAAGCGGTGGCGTGAAGGCTTTTAAAAAAGTAGTTTTTTTTTTTGCTTGACTGTAAATTTGGGAATTTGTAATTTTCCAATAAACGCATAAAATATGTATAATTTAAAAAAGAATTGAGGAAAAAATCCCTGAAAATCATGTCATTTGTAAACCACTGGTATCGAAATAAAAAAAAACACGTTTTGAATTTTATTATGGGGCAAGTGCCCCAAACCCTTCCCCCTCATAAGTACGCCAGTGTTCAGGGGCTCATGTCTTCTTACACCTCTAATAAAAAAGACACACGCTTTCCCATCCTCTAACATTATTTACACGAACTGCGCGTATCGCTATTATAAAATCCTATTGATAAATATAGGGTCATGCCTAATGTCTAGAAAATATAGTTTCTGTTTACTCTCCTTTTCTTTAAATGAAACATAATCTTTATGTGATTCAATTCAGGTTTTTATCATTTTTTGTTTTCTTTTTGGTTAAAAAACAAACAAACCATTTTTACTTCTTTATTGCTGATTTCTTTCGGAGGTGGGGGGGGGGGGGGGCGCGAAATGGGTTTTGCCCCCCCCCACACTCTTTCCTTGGGGGGGGGCGATTTTCTAATTTCAAAAAAACACTCCCCTTGAAAAAATCCTGTTCCCGAAATCTCCGGTAAAGGGGTACTTTTTTTCGCCCGGCCATTGACTCTCACACCGGACTATAAATGAACATGCATACGCGTACTCTAAATAACACTGGGGGGGGGGGGGGGGGTCGACCTCCATTTTTGTTCCATATCACTCTGAGAACATCATTACACGTACATTAATTAATGGCCAATATAAGAATACGATATAGAGTGAAAGAAAAAGAAAGAAAGAAGAGAATGAAGGAAATGAATGAATGAATGAATAAATTCACAACTAAATATATTTTTTTGTAAAGACAGAAAGAAAAAAGATAACAGAAAGAAAACGATAGATAAAAAGAAAAAAATTGATACAAAATTACGATCGCAATTAATGACATAAAATGATGAAATTTCTAAGGTTTGATTATAACGCAGAGCTGGAAATACATATTTTCAGTTCTGTAGATTATCATCGAGAAAAGAGTATTTATGTCCTAACTGTACCTCGATCTCATTCTCTACTACTATCATATCGATCCCCAATTTCTGTCAGAAAATATAGCCTTGCGTGAGGCTAGCTAACTTTTCTCTATCGCCATTGCAGTAATTAGAGGTGTGATAATAAAGTAAAAGTGATTTCAAAGGAGAAAATTATAGCCATAGCTTTACCCGTTGCTGCACCAGGAAGGAAAACAAAATCAGCCCCCCCCCCCAACAAAAAAAAACACACACACACAATCATGCAACACCCCCTCCCCACCCCCTTTGGCTTTGTTGCTCTTTTATTGCTAGTCTTCGCCCTAGCCCTTGAGCTTATCAGCCCTTCCCTTCCTAGGCTAGAGTTTATTGACACATTTTGCAAATGGGAACATGGATCCAGTCTGTACGTTTTACAATAGGAAATCTAATATTTCCCTCGACTCGGTTTATGTATGATCAGGGAGGTGTCACTTACACCTCCCTGGTATGATAGTACTCCTCGTCATACAAAATGACATAGACGGCTTGAAAGAGAACAATTATGACCTCATGTTGACCTGAACTGGCTGAGTGAGCATAATGGCCGAATCTGGAGCCGGTGAAGATTGTAAACATGACGAAGAAAACAGTAAAATGTCGGACGAAGAATCAGAAGTTGAAGACCAAGAGAGTATATATGAAGTGGAGAAAATAGTTGGAATATCAAAAGATGGGGTAAGATTGTGAGAATTCATGGAAAACGATTTTAAGCAGGCATTTTTGACCGGTTGTCGCGGCAGTGTGTGTCACTGTCTAGTCGGACTGCTTGTATTGAATGAGTTTTTGCGTGTGTACGTGTGTGTGTACTGTGTAAAATTGGCTCATCAATGAATCCTGACTGAGCACTGCTGCGCGACTGACTGTGAATGATATGGGGAGCTGAGCCCGAGCCAGGGCCTGTGAATGTGATGATGTGGATTGATCATATTTTTTTTTAGTGATTATATTTTTGTAATGTTGGGAGTATTGAGGCAACAACACTAGGGTCTATTCTAATCACTTTCGCACCTTGGCACCAGGCCAGACACGCTTCAAAGTTCAAGCTTCAAAATGAAGTTCAAGCTTCATTCGATCACATTCACAGTGCAATTTGCATGTTGACATGAATGATGGTTGAGACTTGAGGATGTGACGAAATGAAGTACGCCCGGTGCAGTGGCATAGACCCTAGCAGTGCGAAAGAAGACGGCGCTAATGTACTTTCGTATCCATTTTTTACCCGTAACTCCGGCGTGGAGATACCCTACTAAATCATACCCAACAAAGTAAATATTCATTAAATGTCCAAATAAAGACCATGAGTTAAAAGTCGTTAGGCATGTGTATTACCTGTTTTGTGTCAATTTTCTTGTTATTTTTGGAGGATTTTTTGAAAAACGTTGATATTAGTATACAATTTCTCACAGGTTTCACAGCAAACCGCTGCACAATACAGATGGTGGGTAGGTTGCGGATAGCGGGCGGCTGGCGCACGCCTGCGTGAAGTTATCTCATTACGGTAGTTCACCATGTGTAAATCATTCCTGCACACGATGAACCTTGCAAACTAACTCCGGAGTTTGTCAGTCATTGTATACCTAATTGGTAGTGGACTTCTTTTATGTACAAAGCACTTTAAAATCTGTTATTAAGAATTCAACCAAATTGAGTGAGAGAATTCTGCTTACCTTCCCCATGATCCTGATAATAATGATCTAACATACGATTTACATTACAAAAAGCTAACATCCAACTAGTGTTCGCGATGTTGATTCTGTTATGCAAATACATACATGTACATGTATGCGCGCGCAGGGAGTGTCGCTCATTTCGGCTACATGTACCTGTAGCCTACATGTAATTCCCTGAGCACATCTGTGCAAGTAGTACATGGTGTAAGTACACAAAAATGATAGCAATTTTCATAAATTACATGTAGCATGGGATTGGCGATGTGAAAAACGGTAAGCCATTTTGTGTGAACACAATTGAACACAGTAATGTATTCCCATTTAAAAACATGTGGAATATGGAGAATTGCTTGTAAAATATAGGCCATGGTTTCCGCAGGCAGGGCAAATATTTCAGATGATCAAAGCAAGCAGGAAAATTGATGTCTCCAAAAATAGATAGACGGTGGAATCCTCATATGTGGGAAAGGGGATGCGTATATTATCTATTGGTCATCTACATACATTAGTCATTTACATGTACATGTACACTGTATATCCCTCTTGAAGATCAGGACCAGGATCAGAACAGAATCAGTATGGGCTTCATTATTTATGAAATATGACATTGGCATGCACCTGCCTACATGTTTGTGGAGAGCCTTGTAAACAAAAATACCTACATAATATAGATTTATGTGTACTTCACATGTTGCTGCACAGTGCACACAACAAATCTTTTCAATTGGTTTTGTTTTTCTGTTGTACATGATGTGGTAAAACTGACTGAGGTTTATTCAGTCAAAGGGAGACTACAACTGCACTGGTCAACCGTCAATTACCTCTGTATACTCAAGAAAGTATGGTACATGTATTTTTATGGAAACTTTATATACATGTACATGTGTTTAATACATTTAAGAGAAATAGTTGTAAAATATAATGATTACAATTTTGAAAATCATAATGAAATGTACATAAATTCAGGGAAAAAAATTACTATAACAATTTTGGGGGCTTCTTTTCAAACTTGCTTGCATGAAAATAACACTCTTTAATTTGTTTTGCATTGAACTCTATGCAAAATTTGGGGGCTCTTTTATGACATTTGGGGGCTCTTTTTTTGGTATTTCGGGGGCTAATTTGCCCAAGCCCCATGTATTTTTTCCCTGATGTACATACATGTACATGTACATTTACATGTAAGTGTATCCCTCTCTGCAAGGAAAAGGTCAGATTTGTAGTTAATTTGATTGCATGCATGTTTTAAGCTGTACAGATTATCAGATCTGTGTTATTATTATCTGGAATGTCAGATTGAAAAAATAGAATCCGTGCAAACTACAAAGATTTGTTTGTAAACTTTGTATTCATGTCCTTTCAGGGTTCTCCACAAATGAAAATGTAAGCATGTTAAAGGTACTATGTCCCTTTTGCAGCCAACCTCAAATTATGTAGAACTTTGCAGGAATTATGAATATGTCATGTATGTCCTATCTGTGAAATTATAAACGTTAGCAGTGTCCTCATATTCAAATTATGCAAGGAAACCTGTTTAATTGCTAGACTTCACTGTCAGACACTATTGAGTGACTGACTGGCCTTTTTACTTCTTTGGTAATAACATTCATGAAAAGAATTGTAAAGGGTACATGAGCATTTGTCTACATCAAATCAATAACCCACTCCTTGTGATGGCCAAGATTAAACTGATTGAATCTTTGCGCAGCATAAAACGTATGACCATTCGGTACAATTGTCTGAAAATCAAGACTATTACTTTTGGGCTCTATAGCCCTAAAGTCGATTTGACAACTATACAACCAAAAAATTACTTTTTTTTTACGAGGGCTCTTTTCAGATTTTCCCTTAAAAAAATAGCCCCCCTTAATTATTTTGCGGTGGCTATTTTGGAGCTCAGGGGGGCTTTTTTTTTTTAAAGGTTGTATTTTTTTTAAACGCGGTTTTACCTAATTAAATTCCAAGCAAAGGCAAATATAGATACAATTGTAGCATACATATGTCATGTAGAGTATTGCAGCCATTCAGATACCCATGATTTATTCACTTTGTGTTAAACGTGTGGCTTTATGATTTACATATACATGTAACTAAAACTTGTCAAAAGGAGTGTTTTGTTTAACTCTTCGTTTTTCATATCCTAAGAAAATATTATCACTGACACGCGGGCTAGGAATTAATTTTTTTTATGGGGGCTACTTTTCCCCATTGCCTAAAAAAAACCAAGGGGCTACTTCCTTAAAGCCATATTGTAAGCTGTGACAATAAGTTGTGTTTTTCCTTAGCCATCATACTACTAGCAACCAAATTGGTAGGTAATATGTTATTTAGTCTTTTTTTCTGTCCCAAATTTAATTGTTATCATGGACAATGCAATCCCATTAAAAAAATGTAGACCAACTCCCTTTAAAATTGTGTTATTTAGACCATTTATAACCATTAAATGTGAGTAAATATTTTTACTGTTGTCCCACATACCGATGTAGGGTCTATTTGTTATGCCGAAACATGCAAAATCATGGCCTTATTTTTTTTTTATAGACTCTAATTCTAAAGGCCAAGCCAAAGCTACTTTCATTTCGTAGACAGAAATTGATGTCATCATCACTCATGACAATTGGCCTGGCATCGATCGTATATAAATAATTTAATTTAATTAAACAGTTGTAAGAAAGATTCTGAGGAGTAGGAACATCCTTTATATATTTATTTACGGTTTTTTTATAACAAAATTCAATTTCTGTGTACGAAACTTGCTTTATACCGATTTTACAGGAAAAAATCCGGCATTGATTTTGCACGTTTCGTTATTACAAATATATCAGTATGTGGGACAACAGTAAAAATATACTCGCATTTAATGGTTTTTACTTATAAATGACACAATTTTAGACGGAATAACATTTTTTTTAATGGGATTGCATTGTCCATGATAAAAATAGGGCCAGAAAAAAGACTAAATAAACATATTACGTACCAATTTGGTCGCTAGCAGTTGAGCTCTCGTCACTCGCAAATACTTATTTGCTTCATACAAGGAGCGTGCGGGCGCGCGCTGGAGCTGAGTTAGTACGTTTCTGTGTATTGTGAACGTGTGCGAACTGCGTATGCATTCATGCTGTGCACGAAACTACATCGGGGCCGGTGGCCTGTCCGGCCGCCGGGAGCTTAGGCGCAGGCAGGCGGATACCGCTGTAGATCTAGCTACAGTAGATACGACCGCCGATCCGCTGCAACTCACAAAACTTTTAAAATGTTGATGGAAGTTTCTAGTTTTGGAGTTGGTAGTTGGAACGGAAATTTCACTCAGACACATCAATAAATTGGTTTATTAATTCATAGGGAATATCAATTTATGGCGGGGGCGATTTTTCAAGATATATTGATTTTTTTTCGCCCTCGTCTTGATTTTTACAGTGGCGATTTCAGAGGTTTAGGGGGCGAATCGCCCGTCGCCACCGTGTATTTTTTTCGTTGCAACTATAGTCATTATTTTCTCACTTGAAGACATATTCAAGCCTTACCTTTTTTAGGGAAGTTCTAAATTAGTATTATCTTTCAAATGCAGTTGGAATTTAACTTTTTCATTTTTTTGGCCTGCAAATCAATGGGACATAGTACCTTTAATGTGTGCATTTATAACAAAGATCATGAACACAAAGTGCCTTGTAGCTATAAATTAAGGTACCTACCGGTACTCTCTGGTATAATATAGCCCAAATTGTTATAGTTTTTATTATTGCTTGAGATTTTGTACTAACACGTATGGTACAGTATAGCTGGCCTGATTGGGTACAGTAGATGGTGGTGTCTTGCCTCGAGTTGCCTGTAAATGATTTGTGAGTGTAAAGCTTTTGACGGTTTGTTTGCATGATGTTAAGGTTGTATTATGTGTTGATTGTCATTGTGTGTTATCTGCCCATTTCTTTGTCTATGTATGTCATATGGTACATGTATCTGAAGTTGATTCAGTGGCCAAGCGCCAGCTACGGTGTGTGAACGAGA